TAAAATTGTTCAGAAAACATTCAAATTCGGGTGTTTTCAAAATGTTTATTTCAACGTATGCATCGACAAAATCTAGAGTTTGTGTAGCGAAATAATCCTTTAGAGATATATAGTACATGATTTTGAAAAGAAGTGTTGACCTTTCATTCAGTTATCGCGGATTTCAATTATTTATTCAAAATAAATGCAACAAGTTGTTTGATTTTTTATTGTTTTGATACTAATTCTGACATTACAAGCCAAACAGGTAAACCTCTATACTTGCAATTTTTTCAAAGTTGGCCTACCTTCTCTTCATTGTACCATGCATGCATGTTACTTTCAATGCACTCTTTGCTTGGCTGTTTCGATTTTGAATGTACTTTTGAAAGTGACTACCTTGTAATTATAACGATTTTAGTCTCCTCACCACAATATGTCCACATTTTTAACTTTCTTGCTGTTTTTTACAATACACATTTTTCAGTTTTCAGATTCAATAGCCGTATACTATGAAGTTTATATAAATTCGTTTTAAATAAATTAACACAATTTACTTTTGTTTTACAAATTGTTGTTACAAATTCATTTGTCTTTAAATCAACTGCGCAGATAGTTGAAGTCTTTCACAATATTAAATATAATAATTACATCTGGATCCCGCCTAATAAAGCACATTGGGAAATCAAAGCGATGGCCTACCCTGCTACTTTCTTCTTTTATTATTGTATTTAATTGGTCTTTTGCATGGCAATTAAACGTAAATATGTCGTATGTCTTGTTATAAAGAAATACATTTTTTAATTTGAGCATTTCACAAAACTGGACATGTGTGAAGCCGACAGACACATGATTAGTTTTAATAAGCTAATTAACGACAAATTTGCGTTGTGTGACCATTTATTTTAGTTGAAAAACAAACAATTCCTAGGACATGACTATAATTTTAACACACTTTAGAAGTTTCAGGAAATTAATTTTTAGTTCATTCATGTCTACCGACACATGTGCGGACGAAAGATTACCGAAGAGCATCTTCACACCATCTTGCGTTACCAAATGTATTGGTATATGTGAAATGTGAAGAGAATCGAATGCATTTTTCGCATTTTATGAGATTCATAATTAATCAAAATTTTAACGCGTTGTGGAGGAGGTACCAGAAGTAGTGGTCCTTTATATCCGTTCGTCATACTATTTCTTGTGTTAATAAAAATATTAGTATGGGGGAAATTTGAAAAGAATCGGAAGTTTATTATCCCAGAAAGAGTAGGGTGGTATCTACTATCTAGACCTTGTGTAGATAAATATATCGCAAACTATTGGATGATCCTTTCCTTTTCCATAATGTGAATTGAAAATTTTGATCTTATGTGGGGGAGGTACCAGCAGCTGTGGACCGATGTTGCCAATCTCCAAACTCAATCTAAATTTTGTAAAAATATTACGTTGCACCAACTTTGGACAAACACTAATAAAAAACACACTAATAAATTGTGTTTTCGAAGAATATGTTCCGCTCGAATATTAGAGCTTGCCACTTATAGTTACTTTCCAAATGATGGAGTTTATCAAAACTTCGTCCCAGTCGAACTAACCTGCTTTCTTAAAAATTCTCAAGTACGAAAACACAACAATATAATTTATGGAGACTTTGCAGAACACTTTGAGATGTTAGTGACTAAATGACGAACTCAAGATAGGATTTATAAATTGGTTCAGTAAACTTCAAATAAATTAAAAAAAAAAATTACACCGAGGTAAAATTGTACTTATATTTTCATCCCATTTGTAACAATAGTTTGGTCGTTAGTTTTAGAAAATTTCACGTTTTGGGAAAGTCTTCTAAGTGGAGTCGAAATGCTTATATTTGGTATGGGCTATTTAGTGTAGAGCTCGAAGAAAATAGCTTTCCTGTTTTTGATGCGTTTTTTCACATCTGTAACTTTGATATTTGTTAACTGATTTAAAAAAGGTAAAAGGTCCATTTACCGTTATAAAATCAATTTTCGAAGTGACACAGAAAAACCAAAGGCATATTCGTTATCAGTGGCCTCCCACAAAACCACAATTGGAACATTAGAACAAGTTTGTATTTTTGCCTTCGCACAGTGTTATGATGTTAATTGTGTCGATTAAAAACAAAGAAATTTTTAATCTCAAAACTTTTCAAGTGAGTGTTACTTTACATTTATCCAAAATGATTTTACTTTTATTCCGTAAACATCAATCATCAAATGAGTCCTGCTAAAATCAAACTTTAATAACAAACAAAACGTGTGAAGATCACTAACTAAACACCGCGCCATATACCACAGAAATATACCCACGAAATGTCGCTCGGTATCCGAAATTAACATACAAACACGTCTCCCATATGATAAATGTAGTTGTGGCTATTAACACGCTGTGATAATTCAATTCAAGCTGTCACATGTACAAGCAGAGATATTTAACGTGCGCTTATTTTCAGCGCACTTTTATTATCATTAAGTCCGGCAAGTATTTATTTCAGCAACGCTGAACGTCGACGACATGACCGACAAATAGCACAAATCACACATTGTTGAGATCTACTATGACGAATGCATTTACTCTCACTCTCAGAGTGAATAATAATAAAAGCAATGGTTACAGTCGCTTGAAAAAAAAGTGATATAAATTTGGTTAGATCATATATTTATGTTTCATCCGATTATGACCGTAATATCCATTTCATATGCAAAATATAACATACTCAACCGGTTCCAATTAAATTTTGCACCAACCATGCTATATTTGTCCGATTTAGATGCATTTTGAGGCATACGATTCAGTTCTGTCTAGAATAAAATCTATCAAGTTTGAACCAAATCGTTTTAAAACAAGTTAAAAAGCAGTAAGTTCGGTCGGGCCGAACTTTGAATACCCTCTACCTTTTGGAACGAATTTGGACATTTTCAAAAAATAACCTGGACCTGCATAGACAATTTTCTGTCACAGACTGTAGTTCCCAATATGAACTCTAAATACATAATTTGAAACTACTCCGGTGAGTAATGACGCTAAAATCATCCAAATACCGAATATAGAGGGGTTCCATTATATGGGGGCTATATGAAGACGTGGACCTGCGCAGACAATTTTCAGTCATAGGCTGTAGTATCCATTTCGAACTTCAACTACCAAATTTGAAACAATTCAGTTGAATAATGTCGCTAAAATCATCAAAATACCGAATATAGGGACGTACCGTTATATGGGGGCTATACGAAGACGTGGACCTGTACAAACAATTTTCTGTCTTAGGCTGTAGTATCCGTTTCAAACTTCAAATACCAAAATTTCAAAATACCGGATATCGGGAGGTACCATTATATGGGGGCTATATGAAAACATGGACCTACATGGCCCTTTTACGAACTTAACTGCCTACTGGCAAAATAAACATGTGTGCAAAATGTAAACGTTCTATCTCAATTCGTTCGAAAGATACAACAGACAGATGGACAGAGAGACGGGCATCGCTAAATCGCTGAAGAAAAATATATTTTTTTTTGGGTCTGACATGAGTATTTCAAGGAGTTACAAACGGAATGACAAAGTTAATGACAAAGTTAATCCTCCATAGTATAGTAGTATATGTAGTCGGGCCGATCGACTTTTATTCTCTCCCTACTGATTTTATTTATCAAAATAAGAAATAAACGATTACTTTTTATCTATTGTTTTATACCTTCACCAAAGTCTATATATTCTTGATCAGCTTAAAATTCTATTTCAATTAAGCGATGTCTGTCCGTGCGTGTCAGTCTGTATAAATCACTTTAAAAATGTAGATTGATAAAATGTTCTGCAAGGCTTTTGTCATTGAAAATGGGCTATATAAGTCCAGGTGTTGGTATCGGCCTCATATATGTGTATGTGGCTATTATCAGCCCAAATTGAGTGAATTTTGGGGCGTACGTTTCCACTTTGTGGAACTCGTCTCCGATACATATTTTCTTAATATAATCCTTCTCGAATTGATATCATGCACTCTATAGCAATGTTATTTGGTATATTAGATTAAAATGTCTCCGTCAAATTTAGTGAAAATGGATTCAGAATTGGATATGTCTGCCATATATAAGTTCCATCTGAAACCAAACTATAATTGCTCTAAAGCCAAATGTTAATAGGTGGTATGATCTCATTCAAATAAATTCTTTTGTTACAGGAGCTGTACTAAATATGCATAGTGGTGTAGGGTATCATATATTCGGCCCCACCCGACTTTTGACTTTTCCTTACTGGTTTAAATTGTTAATTGCAACGAGAACAAATTTGACAAAAATATTGCCACTCATAGATGCACAAATGACATTGAAATGAAGAAGCCATACATAGACATTCTGCGCAAAAATTGATTTATTGAAAATTTTGTTTTTGTTTGCCAACGAGGAATATGAGATATAGTGTTGTATGTGTAGAAACTACCAAAGTGAAAAGTTTTCTCATTGAAACAACGTTATATCAGATATCTAATCAGTTATATCATAGACAAATAAAGGTATAAACTAAAAAGTTTAAAATTTTTCCCTTCCGGCAGATGTCACTATTGTTGATCTTGGGCCAGCCAAGTCACTCAGGGCTAGTGAAGTCACTCGACTTCGAAAACAATTTATTCATTTTTCTGCTATTTAAGTACTATATTTTTATATTTCACGACATATTTCGATAATGTAAAAGTAAACAAAGTCGATGTTTCGTTTTTAATTGATAAATAATAAAGAATCATAGAAATGTTTAATATTTTGTATTTTGAGAGAATTGAGTGAGTCTACTGAACCTCTCTCACAGCATGAACGACATCTATTGAAGCACTTTTTTAAGAAATAACAGATGAGACAACTTTTTAGTCTATACCTAATTTGTCTATGGTTATATATTAATCCGTCGGAGTTAAAACATCACTCTTTTCGACGCTTTTCTCAATCCCTTTTAATTCCCTACAAACAACTATCACCTTTCATCTCTCTCAACTTTTATTCCTCCTACACTGAGGGAAAAATCCCGTTGCGAAATCAAGCACGTATGTTGTCATTTTCGCAACGACCCGTTGTTATATTTTTCAACAACGGCTGTTGGTGAATTGTGCACGAACGTGCTCAAATTGACACCGAGACGTGGTCAACTTTCGGTACCAACAACAGCCGTGCTTAATTTGTCCATTTGTAATATTGGTAATTGCAGCCGATTACACACGAGTAAAAAATGACAACGGTGGTGCATGATTCACACACGGTCGTTGTCAATATGACACCGGTCGTGTATGAATTATGCACCACCACCTGCATAATGATGCACCACCGTTGTTACTTTGTACACCGACGTGCATGAATCGTACACGATCGTTGCCATTTTAGCAACTACCGTGTATGAATCATGCACCACCGTTGTCATTTTTTTTACTCGTGTGCAATCGGCTGCATATTTACCATTTTTTCCGTGTTATTGAAAGAGAAAGGACGCATTGTGCAAAAAATTTATTGAAAATGAATAATAATTCGCAAGATCCTCAAAATATCATTGGTGAGTTGTTAGAAATCGATGGCAATATTGTTGTGGTTCGCGATACAAACCATTGCAGCAGTCAAGATGCGGAAAACAATGAGGACGATTATATGTTAAGGGAGTTCTTAAAAGGAATAAATATGGAGTCGCTTTTTGAACAATTAAAAGGTAAGTAAATAAAAATGAATTTTTCAGTTAATCAGTGTAATTAACAAAGAATTTTCTTTTTTGTTCTTTTAGCATCACATGTAACATTTCGCAGCTTGCAGTACTTGAAAAAAGAAGATTTAAAGGAAGCAGTGCCACCATTGGGACTGCGTGTTGAATTCAGAGAAAAGCTCTTTGCTTGGAAAAAACGAAAGGTACGTATTATTTGTTTTACAGAGTTGAACTCAGTATTAATATTGTCATAACAATAGCTCGGGATTGATGACGAAACTATGTCAGTTCCATCTAAAATAGGTGAATGGTGGAAACGCAACGAGACACCTGCAAGTACTCCTGGTACTCCCGACACTACAGGTTCGAACTGCTCAAAAGCCAAAGGAATTTTGTCAGAGGTAAGGTAAGAGTAATATTTGTGTAAGCATAGTTAATGTAGTTTTTTTATTTAATATAGGATCTAACGGAATTGTTAACACATACCTCGAAGGGGAAACTAGCGCTTGAATGTAGTAGCGTTAATAAGAAATTAAGTGACGAGCAAAGAGATGATATAATTAATATAATTATTGAAGATATTTTAACCAACAATGTTACTCTTTACACTCAAGACTATATGCGCATATTGGATGAAATTTGTTCCGTTTTTCCTCTTGAAAACGAAATGAGGGTAAGATTAACAATATAAACAACGTATCTGATTATGTAGTTTCTTAACTTATAATATGTCTTTATTTTTAGGATTATTATTACATTTCAAGAAAAGGAAAGAACAACGCAAGCGGAAAACTTTATGCCAAGTATAGAAACAAGAAGTCCAAAAGAATAAAGCTTTTGATTTCCGAGCCTAGCACAAGCAAAGCAGCAACTCACACATCTCCTAATTTTTGTAACAAAGATGTTCCCGAAATTGATGAATCAGTTGAAAATTCATTGAAAGCTTCCTTACTAAGAGAATGTAATGATTGGGGATCGATCTGCGAAAAATGGAAAAGATCTTTTAACATACGGCAACGGTATACCGTTTTTTTTCACGCAGGATGATGACAATGGACCGAAATGTCAACGAATGCGGTAGTTACCATTTTAATTGCAACTACACATCCTCTAAACCTTCTAGGCATCTTTGTAGAAGTGTCAGAATTTAATTTTTTCTTCTTTAATTTATAATAAAAAAATAACCCACGATTTAATTGCTTAACCAAATTCTATATTAATTTAAAACCATTTGCTTGACAGACCCTTTCGTTGAACCTTTTCAATTGATAGTACATTCTGTATAACAACAATATTATTTCTGCAAAATTGTGACTTGAAGTTAGAGTCCTCTTTTAAAACGTCGGACTTATGGCTCCAGAGGGTACACAAACAATCATGAATTTCGGCTAGGCAGATTTTTTCTACTAGCACATTTAGGATTTTCGTTTCTCCAATATTTCACCATTCTGAGTGGATTTTTTTAATTATAAAAATATTAATTTATTCAAATTCAAAATTTTGTTCACTTTTCGAAATAATAATTAAATCTTGAATCACTTTTTATTAAATTTGTACAATTTTCAATTTTATTAAAGAAGTAATTTTTGCCTGTAATTTCTAATTGTCGGCATGATATATTCCTTTAGGAAAATCCTTAATGTGTTGAGAAGTCTTAAGAATATGATTTTTTTCATTAGTGCTGAAGGATAAAGACGAAAATTTAAATTTTAATAACATGCATCATCTTTTCTTAGCGGTACCTCCCGATGTTCGGTATTTTGATGATTTTAGCGACATTAATCACCGGAATTGTTTCAAATTTGGTATTTGAAGTTCGTAATGGATACTACAGCCTATGACAGAAAATTGTCTATGCAGGTCCATGTTTTCGTATGGCCCCCATATCATGCTACCTCCCGATATTCGGTATTTTGGTGATTTTAGCGACATTATTCACCGTAATTTTTTCAAATTTGGTCTTTGAAGTTCATAATGGATTCTTAAGCCTAAAACAGAAAGTTGTCTGTGCAGGACTACGTCTTCGTATAGCCCCCATATAACGGTACCTCCCGATATTCGGAATTTTGATGATTTTAGCTACATTATTCACCGATTTTTTTAAGTTTCGCATTTGAATATTGTAATGGCTTATGACAAAAGTTACCTATGCAGGTCCATTTCGTCGTATGGGCCCTAATATAACAGCTACATTCGGTATTTTTAGGACTTTAACAGAATTTGTAACGGATTTTATTGTTTCTGAGAATTGCCAGATTCGTTCCAAATGGTGAAGGGTATTCAAAGTTCGGCCCGGCCGAACATACAGCTTTTTTACTTTTTTTATTTAGTTATAAAAATTCTTATTTGAGTTTAAATATAAGAAAATGTCGATTACTGGGACATGCCGAAATTTGACGCAATTACACTATAATGATATATACTCGCAAAAGAGAATTCAAAATATAAAGTTGGATCTTATTCCCCAACCTTGTTTTGGTAAAAATTGTTATGGAGAAAACGCTTTCAATACAGCCATCGCAGGTTGGAATAACTGAGAACAGCTAGTGATATCTCTTTTAAGTGTTATGTACCTGCCGCATCACGGTAATCATCAACTTTACTCCAAAAATCAAGTTATTTTTTCTTTTTATTTTTACTTCAATTGAGCTCACAATTATACATATCTTCGGGTAGTCTATTTTTAACGGTGCTGAACGGTTGAAATTCTTGGGAACGAACGAAATTTAAATCCACCCTTAATAACCCTTAAAATTCCAGCTGATTTAGTTAGAAAATCCATCAGGGTTATATGGGGTCTATTTCAAACCTGGATATGTTCTACCTACTAAATTTTAAAAATATCAAACTTCTGATGCTTCGGTGAAAACTTGAACTAATATTGAAATTTGTGAATAGTCGAATTCCCAAGTCTTTTGAAAACTTCAACATCTCTAGAGGAATATATACTCTGGAGGAATATATGTGCAACTAGTCTTTGTTTTTGTGTGAATCAAAGGCGTTTCAATTACTTTACATGTATCGGTATATATAAATAACCCGACATGTCACAATGGTGCTGATCCTGTTAGATATTGTGACTGGATAATAATATGACGTACTGCTATAGACCACAACATGTTTGTTTTCTATGTAATTCAGTATCTGATATGCTTTTACATTAAGGTACTTCAATTGTTGTTATTTTCAATGAAATATGTGATTCTGCGGAATAGTAAAAATATTCCCTATGACGAAATTTAAACCAGTTTGCACATGTTTTTTCCATTTTTTAAATAAAGATTGTATTCATAGCCATCCTTTGTAGTGCACTGTCCAGCATAGCGTCAACGGTTGTGGTTAGAGGTGTTGTATTTTCACAAATTGAGTTCATTATACAAATTTACAAACTGTCTTCTACTAGAAATGAACACACAATAACCATCATAGAGCATTCAGACACAATACACACACCCGCTGACTCACTAATACACCCACAAATCCAAATGTATGATTTTGAACTGTAAATAGAGGAGGTAATCTGGAAGTGAATTGAAAACAAAGTCAGTTACACTTGAAACACGCATACACTCACACATTTATATCCACATCAACTGTAGGACAATGAAAAAACGAAACAATGTGACAATGTTTTGAATCATAAAGCCTACAGGGGAATGAAGCAGAAGACAAATCAGAGGTGTTATAATAACTACCAGCAATGATGGATCACTTCCATGGGTAATTTTGGTTAATAAATTTTATGTTTATTTTAAACCGACACTAAATTTTGGTGGGTAGGTAGGAATGTTCAGACACATTACAAGTAGCAATTCTCACAGTTTTTTTTTCACGTAAACACACATATAGTATTTTATTTTAAATTTAATCCACGAATACGTATTTTGCTGAATTCATTCATTTAAATCATAGACTCATAGACTATGGTACGTATAATTAATATTTTTTATTACACTGCTTTTACAATGGAACGGCACACACACATACGAAGAATCGTATTTCTTATGAGGTTTCTTTAAGCACTATCCCACATCGGCCAGATTTCATTGTCACCGAAATAATATGAAAACAAAATCACTTAAACAATGTAATAAAATATTTGTGAAACACACATTTCACTAACAGCGGAAAACAAAGAATATAAACTAAAACGAATAGAACAATTTCACGGATTCTCGCCACGAAATCCAAGTCGAGCAACCGTCACGTTCGGTATTATGAATACGACTGAGAATATTCATTGCAACCACATTTATGAATCTAATGCCGAGAACTATGGTAAAAGGTGCTATGAAAATTGCTTTGCTCGCCAAATGCCACCCTCACATTTCATCACAGAGTGATGTGAGTGCAGCTGAGTGCAGCTGAGTGCGGCTGTGATACTCTTTTTTTCTCTTTGCCTTTATAAACGCAGCCTCCTCAGCAACTCTGATATGCACATATTGTGTCACAAAACACACAATCGCGGATATATTTGTGTGCCTCGTGCTAATCTCTGTTCTATATCACCTTTGGCACCTAGGGCCTGTTGACAATACTTTGTTGTTGAAGCGGAATTATTTTAGTTTGTTTTCAACAGCGAAATCTGAAAATAGGTACCCTCTAGATAAGAAAATGCTGAATTAAGCAAAACTAGAGAAAACGTGTCTACATTTATAAATAATAAAAAATCTTAATTTCGAATTTTGCCAAAAGTATATAGTTATATGCCAAATAAGATGGTTTTACTTATGATATATTATTTGAATTCACTGGCAGCAAATTTTAATGATAACACCAAAAATATGCTGTGAAATCTTTACACTCAAACAGGTAGCTAGCTAAAACCAACAAGTAAACCAGTAAAGAAAATTTTAAAGTTGGGCGGGCCGACTTCATGATACCCTACACCACTTTGCTAACATAACAATTAAATGTTTTTATGGGAGAATTCAATCATACACGCTATGATTATAATTATAATTTAAAGTTCAAAAGATTAAATATGCCGAAGCATTTGTATATTTTAAATTCGGACTTGTATTGCCCATTTGGTGCACAATTTATTTGAAAATGGATAAAGATATATATAGGAGCTATATCCAAATCCGAACCGATCTCGATAAAATTTGGCAAGGATATTTCTGAGCTGTGTTTGATATATTTCCCTGAATACCGTTGTTGCGGAGTGCATATTACGGCTGTGGGTAACAAATATAACAAATCGGATGAACAATATATATGGGAGCTATTGCTATATCTGAACCGATCTTCACCAAATTCGACATACTAGCTTCTAGACTCAATTCGGTCGTAAGTGCCAAATTCCATCCCTTTTGGACAAATATTACACGTTTGGCGCACAATAAAAGGAAATCGGACGAAGTTATATATGGGAGCTATATCCAAATCTGAACCGATCTCGATAAAATTTAGCAAAGATATTTCTGAGCTGTATTTGATATATTTCCCCGAATATAGTAACTACGGAATCCATATTACGGCGGCGGAGGACAAAAATAACAAATCGGATGAAAAATATATATGAGAGCTATAGCTTTATCTGAACCGATTTCGATCAAATTCGGCATACTTATTTTCAGGCCTAATCTGGTTTTATGTGCAAAATTTCATACTATTCGGCCTGATATTACACGTTTGATGCAAAATAAAATGTAAATCGGACGAAGATATATATGGGAGCTATATCTAAATATTAACCGATTATCTCCAATTTCAATAGGGTTCGTCCTTTGGCCAAACAAATGATTTGTGCAAAATTTCATCTGGGATGGGCAATAAATGCGAACTGTACTTTGTTTACAAAAATACATGGGCAGACGGAATGCATAAATCGACTCAGAATGTGATTCTATATAGATCATCAAAAGGAACTATGTGTCTATCTCGTTTCCTTTTGCCTGTTACAAAAAGCAGCTAAGTCTGACCGGGCCGAACTTTTAATACCCTCAACCATTTGGAAGGAATATGGAAATTCTCCAAAAATAAAATCCGTTAAAAATTCTGTAAAAATCTTAAAAACACATTGTTTGTCATAAACCATTACCATATTCAAAT